CGGCCCCCCATCCCTTCCACATCTATGCCCAGGGAAGGGCAGCTCCACAGCCAGGAGCATTGCCTGTGGGTCCCAGCCTGCTCACAGGCAGAGGGGGTGGCTGCCAGTTGCCCTCGCCTCTGACTTCCTCATACTGGCCTACCCCAGCGCCCAGGGCTGCAGTAAGCTAGGTCAGTTCTCCCCCAGACTGCTGCCTACACACACACACACACACACCCACACCACAATTCCAGGAAAGGATGTGGGACTCTGTCTCCAGGCCAGTGTGCCCGGTTCTCCCTCACGCCCTGTGTGGAGGGGTCCTATCGCGGACACTGGTGGATGAATTTTACCTTCTACGCCCTCCCTGTTATTTCCAGACACCCATTCCTTCCCCATGTGCCCGAGGACTTCAGAGGAATTGGCCACATCCCCCTTCAATCCAGGGGTAGTTTTGATTGGTCTCATGGTAATTCTGACCCCTCCCCCTACACCTACAAAATGATTGGTTTAGAAATGGGCATGTGGCTCAGTTTGGCCAATGAGATGCATCTGACCTCCGTGCATCTTGACTGGAATGGAACCCAGGAAGGGAGGTTTTGTGTGTGTGTGTGTGTGTGTGTGTGTGTCTGTGTGTGTGTGTGTGTGTGTGTGGCCTTCTGGGAGATTCTTTTCTCTCCTAGGAGAGCTGGGGAGCATCGCGCGCTCGTGTGGTACTGAGTGAGAAACACTCTGCCAGATTGCTCCTGGCCGACACAATCCAGGTCCCGTGCACTCTTGGTCCTCCAGGGACCTCACTGAGCTGCTCCATCCCCCTGGCCAGCGGCCACCCACCCCTCTGGACTTCTGAACATGTGAACCTGGGCGTCTGTTTAGAGAGCAAACCTTACTACCCTTCACTGCTAAAGGGTCCCTGGTAGCAACAGGGCAGGGACCTGGGAATGGGGAATCCGTCTGCAGAAGGCTGATGTGGAAGAAGCCAGCTCTGAGGCTCATGCATCCATCTGACAAACATGAACCTACCCTCTCTGCCCAGCCCTGACCAGTGAACTGGGGTCCCAGGGAAGAGGACCCCAGAGAAGGGGCTTCAGGCTAGACAGCCATGTCTACCTGCAGCATATTACCTGCTGGGTCTCCAGGCCAGCAGCACCCTTCCCCCCAGATCACTGACTTGCTCTCACGGAGCATGCTCTGCTCATGGGTTATTGCTGTGTGTTTCAAACCACCCCAAAGCCTAGTGGCTTAAAAGAACAGCAATCATTTATTGCTCATGATTGTGCACTGTGGGCGGGGCTCAGGAGGTGTGCTTGCTTTCGGCCGCATGTGCTGCCTGCTGTGAAGATGGCTGCTGCTCTCCTACCAGGCGCCTCAGCCGGGATGAGCTCCGCAGCTGGGGCTGGCTGGCATCCCTGTCCCTGTGGC